TAGTTGAAAGTATTTGCAATTATAAAACGTGTACGAAGTACCAAGTAATACTTGGAATGATCAGTATATTTTAAATAACATATGATTGGGAATCTTACTATTATTCTGATTTTATCAATGCACCTAATTATAGAAGTTGGTTACCTTATTGTGCTCCAAATTATTCAGCTAATCAAAGTATAAGTAAGAGAAATTGTATAATTATTTAATATAATTAGATTAATTATAGCAATTATGGTAACCAAATTACTTAATTTAATCTTTAAACATGTTAAAATTGGTTACCATAATGTACAGTGAATAGTATTAATGACGGTTGCATGAAAAAGATTTGTGATAATTATGGATCAATTGAATAGATTACTGGATGGATGCCTTATTGTACTAAGAACTCATTAAAAAAGTGTGAAAGGAAACATTATACAAATTATCCATCATCAGGATTTACAGTTAATAGTTCAAATTGTAAGATTTGGTTTAGTTGTTGTAAATCAGCACAAATAAGTACTAATTGTAAATATAAGACATGTAGTAATCTAGGTTTAATTACTTTTAATCATAAAAATTGTACAGTTTTTGATGATGATGGCAATCATGTGTGGCAAGTAGAACTTTAACTCAACATGGTAGCTAAATAACTGCAAATTTTGGTTATCAACATCTACGATTAATTCTAGAGGAACTGTCAAAAATATGAATTACATGGAGCTTTTGTTACTTCGTTCTCTTATAATATTGTTTAAATTGGAACTTTGATTGTACAGTAAATACTGGAAATACTGCATGTATAGTTATAACTTGTGCTTATACAATTGGATTTCAGTTAATCCTGCAAATTGTTAAAAATTGTTATCAATATGTACTGTCAATTTAGATAATACTGCATGTATTAATAAAACTTTTTCAAACAAAACTGGTAAAATAATGTAGGTAATCGTAAATTAAATTAATAATTTTTCATTTATATATGTTAATTAAATTAAATAAAATAGAGTGTGTTAGTTATATATTTAATAAATTATGCACTGATGCTCAAAGCTTCTAATCAGGTTTATTACATGTATATTTTAATAAAGGCTCCGTATCTTTTATATCAACCTTGAATATGTAATTTAAATATACAATAGTTTTAGCAGCAAAAAATTTATACACAAAAATCAAAATCTCTAAATGGAATAAAATAATGTCCCTCCAATTAAAGGAATATAAGAAAAAGGAAATAGGATTGGAAAAGTGAACAATAAGTATTTGAAAAGTGACACCTGAATTAAAATAAGAATTAATGTATCAATAATTGTGGGGCAGTTTTGTTATTGTAAAACCAACAATAAGAAAATTTCTAATATGAAATTAGAATTGTATTGCCTAACTGTTTGTACAAGTACTCAACCAAGCTGTCCAATTGGTTTATGTAAATTAAGTGGTGGTACTATTACTACAGGTCTTAGCAGTACAACTATCCTTAGTACTATGTACAGTACAAGAACTTAACTAGTCAGAACATCTACTATGATTATAAACTGATATATATGTTCTATCAGTACAACAATTATTTGTCGAATTTCCTGTGCAACTACTCATCTAATTTGAACAATGTTTATAAGTATATACATTACTACAAGTGCTTTTTAAACAAGATGATTAGTAAGATCAGGAACACATTAACTCAAATATTCTGAACATGTCTATAATGAGGTACACATTCAGCATTTGTTGAATTAGCTTTACAAGTCCATTATCCACTTGTTTGATCATTAAACAAACTTAAATTTGAATGAAAACAGTCTTATTCATACAACCATTATTCGTACTATTAACTGTACAATAGGATGACTAAGCCTCACAATTATAATGATTAATGTTAAAATATTAATTCCATATTTATTATAAGTAAGATCAGTCATACAAGCTGTTCCTGTTGAATTTACTCTACAATAAAACAACCAAGTTTAACAATTTGTTTAATTGATTGTTCCTAAAGAATGATTTTAGCATGTTTTTAATTAACAATATTATGGCCAAATAGTATTAATAGCTTTACAATAAGGTAAACAATCTCTACAATAAGTCAATATTATATCATTGCCAATCAAACCTGAATTACTACAAGGCTTATCTACAAAATTTCCATTGATATAAGTATATATAGATTTCCAAGCAGTACATGTATATGCATTTATTTATATAACACCACTTATATTAATCTGCTACAAGTTTTTCCAATATGCTAAATAAGATTAACAATTACTATCATTAACAATACCAGTATAATTATCTCATGTTTTAGGCATACAACTTAATTTATTCTATTAAAATTTATAATAAAATTTGAATTATACAATCTAATGTTTTATAATTAGTAAATACAGACAACCAAGATTCACAATTATTAGATGAGTATATTGATAGATTTGAAGAATAATTAAAACAAGTTATATCTTTACAACTTGTATTTTATTATTAGTACAAGTAGAAAAACAAGAAGAACATGTATCAACAGTTTAAGATGCAAGTTAGGATTTGAGCAAATCTTATCTCACAATTGATATTATTACTGCTAACAGAACACATATTATCCCATTCTTGCAATTAGCAATTAGTAATACCAGATGGTGTAGTACAACTTGCTTTAGAATTTGTAAGCTTAAATTTTCAACTTCTCCATCATGTACTTTAGATGGATCCAATATTCCCAAACTGAATACTCTCTCTTCCATAGAAAATACATTAGAATAATGTAAATCGGATAGATTATTTATTTTTGATTACAAAAATTTATTTTTCAAAAATAGATTCATAAGTTGATGTATATATATACCTGAAATACAACTTTCACTTAAAACTTCGTATTTAATCTATTCGGTTAATCTTTTGGATTACGATTAATAATACCTATTGTCAATTTTTTTCAAAGTTCTTCTAACACTACCTGCAAATTGCACAGGTACAAGATGAATCAGATGTTATTGTACCAATAATTAGGTAAAATTGTCCATTAATTTATTATCAATTATCCAGGAAGTGAATCATTTCCTGGTTTCCCTTATTTCTTTTATTATATCTCATCATCTTTCTTTGATCTTTTCTATTGATTAACTGGTGCCAATGAAGAAGGCATTTATTTCATTAATTCTTTATTTTCCTAAACTTCTCTATTCTATTGTACTCGTAATACTTTCTAAATTCTTCATTTGAATAATCAAATATTGTAAAATTGAATTCAAATTATCCTTCCTTTTTTATTTTCAAATGTCTTAATTTTTATTCATTAAATTATATTATACCAAAAGTTATATTTTTTAATGGAT